TCTTTAATCCTAGCACTTGGGAGGCTGAAGCAGGTGGATTGTTATGAAATTGAAGCTAGCATGGTCTACATAGCGAGTTCCAGGCCAGCTGAACCTACAGAGAGACCCTGTATCAAAACAAAATATTAATTTTTTAAAAGGATAGTTAATAATGGAGAACATGAAATGGGGCAGGGTAGTGGGGAAGGGCTGGAGAGAGAGGAAGAATCTGAATACGATCAAAATATATTGTATGAATTCTGAAATCAATAAGAAAAAAAAAAAAGAGGGAGAGGGACTGGAAGTACTCAGTGGTTAAGAGCACTGACTGCCCTTGCAGAGGACCTAGGTTCAGTTCCCAGCACCCACATGGCACCCAACAATCATCCATAACTCCAGTTCCAGGGGATTCAACAATCTCTTCTGACCTCCACAGACATTGCACAACATGGGTGCACTTACATACGTGCAGGCAATACACTTCTATACATAAAATAAAAATAATAAATAAAATATGTTTCAAGTAGGAGAATGCTTGATTTGAGGCTTTGTCCTACTAATTAAAAATTTCCAGGTATTCATGGATGAAAGGCTTATAGTAGAAAATGGAAGTTCACTGTCATTTTGATACTTCTCTATTCTAAACATTCAAAAATGCTGTCAGACTTTTTTTTAAGTATACTACAATGCAGAGGGGCTTTGTGCACACCCCTAAGCATGAACAGATGAGACTTTATGAGAAGCCTACTCTCACCCAAAACACAACACACACCCATTTTTATATTACTACATAGTCTCTGGACTACAGGAGGAACTAAAAATTATCTAAAATTGTCTATGTAAATAAGTTGAGAAACACTGACTGATCTAGGAAAGTTAAACCTAGCTTTCCCAGTAGCCCAGACCTGCAATCGCATCTACTCAGGGGGCTGAGGTGGGAGGATCACAAGTTTGAGATCTGCTAGATCTACAGAGGCAGTCCAAAACCAACTTGGGCAAATTAGTGAAACCCTTTTACAAAATTAGATATATTTTTTAAAAGGCTTGATGTCAGGGCTGGAGAGATGGCTCAGTAGTTAACAGCCCTAACTACTCTTGCAGAGGACCTGGGTTTGATTCCCAGCACCCACATGGTGGCTAACAACCACCAGTAACTCTAGTTCCAGGGGAATCTGATGCCCTCGTCTGACTTCCACAGGCATTGCACAACACAGGTGCACATACATGCAGGCAATACATTCATACACATAAAATAAAAACAATAAATAAAAATTTTAAAAATACCTTGATGTCATGATAAAGCCCAGTATTATGTATTAATATACACTAACAAAAATGCTTTTAAATGGCCAGAGGGTTGTAGAGATAACTGGTTTGGTAAAGTGCTTCCTGCACAAGCATGAGGACCTGAGTTCAAGTCTTAGGACCCATGTAAAAAGACAGACATGTAGAGCACAGTTGTAATCTTAGCACTGGGGAAGCAAAGACAGGAGGATCTCTAGGACTCACTGAGTAGTCAGCCTAGCTGAATCAGCAAGTTCCAGGTCAGTAAAGAGAGTTTGTCTCAAAACATAAGGTACAGGCAGAGGCAAAGGCAGAGGCAGGTGGATCTCTACAAGTTCAAGACTAACCTGGTCTACACAGCAAGTTCCAGGCCTGCTAGAAGTATATAGTGAGACCATGTCTAAAAACAAAACAAAGCAAGACAAAATGTGGATGAGAACCTGGGATACCTAAGGATGACCTCTGGCATCCACATGCACAAACACACATGTGTAGGTGCACCCATGCCCACATGTGCACACACACACATACTGATATATAGAGCTTATTGGTATAGCGCTTGCCTAGAATGCACAAGGCCCTAGGTTTAATTCCCAGTACTTGCTTAAAATGGAACCTAAATTGTTACTGGCATGGCTAATCTTTATTGTCAACTTGAATTAATTGAGAAGTGCCATGAGATTAGTAAAGCTTGTCTTTGACTGTGAGGACTTTGTGGAAAGGATTAACTAAGAAAGGAGGACAACCTGAATAGGGGCAGCACCATCCTACAGCCCAGAATGGATGGATCTCAAGCTTGCCCTCCCTCCCTCTCTCCTTCCCTCCCTCCCTCCCCTCTTCCTCATCTTCCTCCTCTCCCTTCTATCGATATCTCTCTCTCTCCCTCCCCCCCTTCTCCTGGCCACCCATGATTCCAGCTGTTCTGCTTCACCACACCCTCCCCACCATGAGGGACTGAAACCTACGAAATCAAAAATAAATCTTTCTTCCTTTAGGTTGTTCTGTCAGATATTGTGATGGTTAGTGCTGGTACCTTGACAAAATCTAGACGACCTCTCAACATTCCTATGGGATGCCTTAAGTGATGTGGAAAGACCCATCTTGACTACAGGAGGGACTATTCCATCAGCAGGGGATTCTGGACTGTATAAAAAGGAGAGTGGAGCACTGACATGCATCCCTGCACGTTTCATCCTGTTTGCTTGGTTTCACCTCTCCTTTTTCTGTTCCAGCTGCACTAGCATTCTTCAGTTCTCCAGTGCTCCATGCTCCTGTCTTTCCCAATGACAGTTTTAGTACATGCTATTCCTTTCACCTAGAATGTCCTCCATCCTAGTTATTTTCTACACATCCTCCAGATCACAGTTCAAATGTCACTTCCTCAATGCGGTCCCTATTGCCTCAGGCTGGTTTAGACCTCATTTATTTATTCACAGTCTCCTGTATTTTTCTCCATAATACAATCCCAAGTTTATTATAATTTATCATATGATCAGTGAGCACCCCCACTCCTTGGCCATAGTTTATTTTGTTCATCATTGAAGACTCAGCTCCTGGCAGAGTACCTAACTACTGAAAAGTACCAAGTCCTTAAAAAAATATACACAGAAGAACAAACAGTTAATGAATAAACTCTGTAATCTGAGTACAAGATGGGAATTGATGCAGGATTTCCTTGCATTTAAGAATAAATCCAAGGCCAGGCTCGGTGGTATAGACCTTTAATTCAAGCACTCAGGAGGCAGAGATAGGCAGATTTCTGTGCTGGCCTTGAACTCACAGAGATCCACCTGCCTCTGCCTCCCAAGTGCTAGGATTAAAGGTGTGTGCCACCATGCTTGGCAGACATACACTTTTTTGTTGATCCTTCCACCTCCATTCCCTTGCCTCCTCCGCCCCTTCCTGCTGGTCCCTTCAGCACCCAGAAGCCATGTCCTTATTAGATTACAATGGTCATCTATGTGAGTTATTTCATTTTATTTTATTATTAGTTTTTAAATTACCATACAAAATAATGGGTTTCAGTATGGGATTTTTATACACACCTTGTTTTTGATCATTCTCCTCCCCATTCCTCTCCCCTCCCCGTGCTCCCTCCTGCTGCTCCCTTCCCCCCACCCCAGTTTAAGACCTCTTTTTCGCCTTTCATGGTCCCCTTTCTAGTTTGAGGACCTGTACTCCTCCCTTCCTCCCTGACACATAGATAAAAATCAAAATCCAGGGTCTGCAAAAGAGAGAGAACTGATATTTCTATTTGAGTCAGGGATATGTCAATTAATACAATTACCAATCCCATCCATTTTCTTGCAAATATCACAATTTCTTTTTTCCTTTAGGGCTAAATAAAATTCCATTATGTATATATACCATATTTTCCTTTTCTATTTACCTGTTAGTGGACATCTAGATTGGTCCCATTTTTTAGCTACTGTGAATAGTGAAGTCATTTGTGTGATTTCTAAGATTCAAAGTTTCTAAAGCTAAAATTATTTCAATCCATGTACCTTGCCTTAAAAGCAGATTTTGAGTTTTTATAATTTTTGACATAAATTTTTCTTCTACAAAAGTCATTCATTTCTACCTAAACTTGGTGGGGAAATAAGTGTTAGATTTTAACTACTAGGCTGAGGATTAAGTTTAGTGGTAGAGTACTTGCTTAACATTCCTAACACCCTAAATTCAATCCCCAATAATCACAAAGCAATAAACAAATAAAAAAGTGAGATTCGTATTATTATAAAACCAAGTGTGGTGGTCCACACCTATAATCCCAGCATTTAGAAGGTGGAAGTAGGAGGATGAGGAGTTCAAGACTACCACTGACTACAAAGTGAGTTCAAGGTCAGCCTGGGCTACAAGAGACCTATCCCAAACAAAACAAGCTAACAGTTAACCACCTAAGACTTACAAGTCATTTAGTATTTAAAAGGAAACTTGAAAGAAAGTCCTAATTGGTTTGGAGGGGAAAAAAAGAGATGGAAAAGTCTTAAATTGATACTTGAAGCTTTTTTTCAGCTGCTGGCTTAAGTGTTTAAGATGAGTTTTGCCAGCTCACTCTGCTCAATGCTCTGTGTAGGGGTCACACTAAATTCTCTGCTGTACTTGGTGAGATCGCACATCATGAATAGTTGGGAAATGAGATACACATTAGACGCAGTAGAGATTCTGGATATTCTTTTTATAGCTAAATCTGTATGCTCTCTTATAGGTTATAGAAGGAAAAGCAGACAAGGGAAACAGAAATGGTGCTTAATAACTCTAAGTACTGTGTCATTAATCACCATTTTCTACCAGCTAAAATGACCTAACACCTTCTCTTTGGTACCACAGGTTATATATATCCAAGTTTAAAAAAAAAATTATTACTTGCTTTTCACATAATAATGACAGGATAAACTGTGGACTTTGCCCCTTTTATGAACATAAAAGAAACTTGATTCAGGTCTGATCTGAGAGTCATTTGAGGAATCATACATTTAATTCAGAATGCAGTGTTTTCTGATGTTTTAAACAAATAGTCCTTACCTCTTATAATAAAAAGTATACTCAACTTCTTAAATATAAACTTTAGTATAATAAATTTTGTGGTTAGCTGGGTGATCTAATCTAGCTCTACATTTTCAATTATAAACAAATCCAAATATCTGACAATATAAAGAAATCACAAAAAAATCTAATTTCACACTTGCACCGAGGTTCACAAATGCATTGCATTAAAAGATGTGCAGTTACCTTACCTTACATTCTTCCTGGCAAAGATCTGGTCCAAAGTTAGTGAAAAGACCATACATAAAAACAGAAGTGAAAAACTAAACAAGATTTTTCTTCCCATCAAGAAACGGATGTTTCTTCAGACTGAACACAGCTGTTATTTCACAGTGCAAACAGTGCAGAAGCAGAACTGTTCTTACCCTGTAACTGACAGCACACTCAACCAATAAAAAGAAATCTTTTTCAGCAGTACTATATGGGAGAGGAAAGAGGGCGGGACCTGACAATGCTTAATTTGGAGTATAAAATGATCCAGTATTTAGCTTTTTAATTATTCATCTCATTTAAAATTACGAAAGAAGATGTTTTTAGGGAAATTATATTTACCAGTAAGTTCTTTATAGAAAGTTGCACTGTTTTGTCACAGAATCTTTATGATTCTCACAGTAGTTTTCAGGAAACTATTACCTTCTCTCTCAAACCTACAGAGTATATTTTTTTTCTATACGTTTTTCAGGTGAATTAGTCAGTAAAAATCTTTGGAATGTATCTAAATTTCCATATAGGCCCTAGTTTACAGTTTTCTCTTAAATTTTAAAGGTAGACACTGCTCAAGGCAAGCCTAGTGGAGCCCCTACTGCAACAACAGGACAAGGTCTCCCTTCTGTGTTTACTTCCTGCAGATCAGGGACAAAAGCTCTTAAAGAACTGATCCTCCTACCGCCACCTCTTCAGCATATCCTACCTGCAGCTGGTAAGAAGCCCCAAACCACAGTGATAAAGTACCTTTCAGTTATATTTAAAACCAAGCTATATAAATTTGCAACCATGAACTCAACAGAGTAACATTTTTTAGAATGTTAGGATTCTTGTGGTAAAAGTCGCTTCACTCAGACCATGAATTTGGGGAAACCAATGTCAATTTTTTTGTTAAAGTTAGTGTCAAATTCTACTGCTACTTAAATGAGTTACATTGGATAAGTTACTTTACCTTCTGGGTTTCAGTTTTGCTGTCTGAGTATGGGGCCTATAATGCCTGCTTTAGTGTGTTATTGAGCTAATTACATGAGCAATATGTCTGAAGTTCTTAGCACACTGGCAGGTATATACTATGTAGAACATGAGACCTTGTTGTTCTAAAGTGGGGAAAACATGCTCTAGTGAGGAATTACCTAGATAGTCTTCATTTTGAAGTCTATCTTTTTCTGTTTTAATTATGTCCATTCAACAAAATGAAATTAGACATTCAAAGCAAAAAAGAAAAGAAAAGGAACCTCAACCCAAGGAACTTTTGACAATTGGTAGCTGCTGGTGGGAGGGGGAAAGACTTTTTGACAGGGAGGGATGGGGCTCTTGGTAGGTCCAGTGGATGGACCCCCCAAACTGAAAGACATCTGGGGATACAAATCAGACTCTCTCTCTCTCTCTCTCTCTCTCTATATATATATATAAAAAATATATATATATATATGAGAGAATACATTAAATGGAACGGGGAAGAAGGGACAGGTACAGAAAGAAGAAGGGATCTAAATACCATCAAATTTTATTGCATGATAATTGCAAAAATTCAGTTAAAATTTTGATTAAAAATAAAAGAATTGCTTTGGAGGGCATGGGGGTGGGATATGAACAGAGAACGATAGATCTGCACAAAACTTCACAACAAAATCCTTTGTTTTGTATACTAAGTCACATATGATTAAAAAACAAAAAAGAATTCTGGTGAAGACTGGAGGAAATGACAGGTGAAATCCTCTTCCTACCTCAATGCTTAGATAAATAGAGTACCTGTGCTATTTCCCAATAAAGCCTGCAAAACAGAGCAAAATTCATAAAGGTCGTTTTACATTTTTTGTTTTACATTTAAAATACACACAATAAAATTCTGTAACACTGAAAATCTTCCAAAATGAAGTCCTGGCATTTGGGGCACTTAAGGACCTTGATCCCTTTATGGGAAAAGTATTGGCAACAGAAAAAGGCTATTTTTAAGTGACATTTCAGAGAGGTGCTGGATTACAGGGAGGCGAGGTACTTGGTCTGGTGAAGTTCTTGTCTGTTCTGTTCACCATCTCTTCCTCATGTGGCACAGGGAACCCCTTCAAATGATGAAAAGAGAATAAAGCACAATGACTAGGGGGAGGTAGGAGAATGCAGGAATAAAGGAAAAGATTGCTGATAATTCAAAACTAAGCTGGTTAAAGTGGCACATGCCTGTTCTCTTTGTGCTTGGGAGGAGGAAAGCAGGAAGATCACAAGTTCAAGGTCATCCTCAGCCACTTAGTTGAAGGTCAACCTGGGCCAAATGAGATCCTGACTCAATAATAATGATAATAACAATAGTAAGCTAAATATGGCATTTTATGCCTGATTCATTCCTACTTCTCATGCATTCTTTTCTGCCTTCTGTTCTTTCATTTCCCAACTTCTATGCTCCACCTCTCCTTTTATCTACTTGATCTTTTCCTAATTTTGTGAAATTTCAAGTACTAAGGCAGGTCTAGACAGCAGGAATTTAGTCTTTGATAGGACTGACAGATAAACTATATAATGTCTAGTTAAATTTGAATTCCAGAAAAACAAATAATTCTAGTATATGTGCCACCATACAATATTTAAGACATAGAATACTGGGCTAGGGCAATGGCTCAGTCTATAAAGCGCTTGCTGTGGTTCCCCTGAAAGCAAAGGCACTGACTGCCTTCTCCTCAAACCCCTGGTAGGGAGGAGTCCTAACCCCCCATTGTGCTGAAACTAGTTCTGTGAACAATGAGAAACTGTAGTGTTGAGGGACTATTTCATGGAACTCTGTCGGGGAACATTCAAACCCATACACACAAAATTTTAATTTTAAATCCAGCAGTTATATATCTCAATTTTAGCATAGCATTCCTTCTGTTGTGGGAATATCCTCCTACTTGGTTAAGAACATTCAAGACAGAATAATTAATACCTAGTAGGCGTCGCACATATTTCAGAATAGAAGTCACACTTAAGACGTGATTGTCTGAGAATAGCTCATCTTGTGACTTTGGAAGAGAAAAGCTGTGAAAAAAAAAAAAAAAAGCTAATTGGACAGCTTGCAGGCGGTACACACTAGGCTACTGCCTTGCCTGGCATTAACCCGCCTGCTCAGATTGCTTGGGAGTCTTTGTCAAGAATTGTGAAGAGTCTGAGATTTTACCCACCTGTGTAAGCTGGAAAATTAGTCTTCCAGTTTTAGAGATGGTGGCAGACAACACAAGCCTCCTTGATAAGAGACAGAATTTTATCACTTGCCACCGTGAGCATCACTATGTCTGTGTCAGTGTCCCTTACCTATGGATCAATCAGGCAGACCTGATGGAGGCCTATGTATACTATGAGTTTCATTGCAGGGGAGAACTCTTAAGCTTGATGTTGTGGTTTAGATGTGAAGTGTGTCCCCTGTGATGGTGTGGTCTCCAGCTGGTGACACTGATGAGTGGTAGCTGGATGAAGATAATAACTTCATTAATGGATTAAGCCATTGATGCATACATAGTTGAATGGGCTTGGGAGGTAGGACCAAGTTGGTGGAGGTAGGTCACTCAAGGTGTATCCTGGCCCAACCTCTCCCCCCTCTCTCCTCTCACTCTCTTGCTCTCTTGCTTCCAAGCTGCCATAGGATAAGCAGTCTCTGCCACTTGCTCCACCACATGTGGTGGTCTGCCTCCCCAGGGGCCTGTAACAGTGGAGCCAGTTAACCATAGCCGAGTCTTCTGAAACCATGGGCCAAAAGAAACCTTTCTTGCTCTCTTTTTCTCTGGTATTGTTATAGTGATGAAAACCAGACTGATACACTTGGGGAGCCCTAAAACATTCACAGTGTTTAGTAAACTCACCTGCCCTTAGTTCTGGAGGAAAACACCTCTATTTCCTAATTAATAAACAAAGGTTCCATTTGCTACAGAAAGAGATGAATTTTAATGTTGCAAAGATAATCCACCTTAGAAACAGGAAAAGCATTCCAGAACAAAGAACAGCCAGTGTCCTGCAGAAAATGTAAAAGCATGTAGAAAAATGTTCCCTCAACAGTATCCAAGAAGAGCATATAGTTAGCTACATATCTAAGCCGCAGTCTTTTCAACTAAAAAGAACTCAAGATTGCTTCAATTTCTGATTTGCTATGCATTACTAAATAAATATTACCTGAAATTTTCAATAACAAAAAATACATCTTTCCATATTGATATGTGCCCAGATAGAAATATGCATTAGTGACTCAAACACCAAATCTATCTACCTTCTCCAAAACCCAGCATAACAGGGCCCCTGATGCTCTCCCTTCTCTGATGTAGCTCCAGCTCCTAAGGGCATGGCAGGCACAAGGATCTACTTCTTGACACATGGTGGGCCTAAATTTTAGTTAACTATAACTAAAAAATAGATTACCTCAAACATTACAAAAATTTAGTTGATTGAAAATAGAAACTGACAAAGTATATTGGAATATATGTATAAAAATGACACAATGAAACCCATTACTTTACATGTTATACAATAAGTTAATTAATTAAATGATTAATTAGGAGCTAAGAGATGGCTTAGCTTTTAAGAATGCTTGTTGCTTTTTCAGAAGACCTTGATTTGGTTCCCAGAATCCTTTTGGCAACTAACCCCTATCCTTAGCTTCAGTTCCAGAGGATCTGACACCCTCTTCTGGACTCCATGGGCACCAGGTATGCATGCGGTATGCTTATATACATGCAGACAATAAAATAAAAATAGGTAAAATCTTTAAAATAAAAAAAGAAATAGCCAGATGTGGTGGCAAACACCTTTAATCCCAGAACTTAGGAGACAGAGGCAGCAGATCTCTGTAAACTCAAGGCTAGTCTGGTCTACATAGTTCCAGGTCACGGCTATAGGGAGACCACATCTCAAAAGACCAAAATAATAATAATAATAAATAAAAAGGAAAAAGGAAAAGGAAATAACGAAATGATAGAGATGAACAAACCAAGAAACCCAGACTATACTTGCTCACTAGCAAAATACCACAGCACGCACTTATTGCTCCTTGAGCGCAGAGCGGCTGTGGAGGGGGAGTGTATAACTATCAAGTTCGGAGCCTAACTGCCAAGGTTCCTATCAATTTCCATCAAATCAACTTCTGATTT